GGTGCTAAAGATCAGTGACCATAGCTTGTGAGCATCTGTCCCATCTGAGGGAGAGAAAAAGAAAAAGAGGCAAGGGAAAGCTAGGCAGGGCGCCCCTGTGAACGGCCACTTTTCTTCTCCCCGCAAAAGAAAACAGTGAAAAGTCCAGCAGGAAAGCCAAGCCACAGGTGAATGTGAATATCTTTTGTTGAGGGCCTCTGCGCTCTGAATTGGAAATCGCTTTAAGTTCGGTGCCTGTTGGTTGGTAACTGTAAAAGAGTGGCCACGATTAAAATGTCCCTCAGTGGGGAACTGCTCCAGTGTTATACAACGTAACGTCATGCAGCCTTTGGTCCAGAAACATAGGCAGTCCTTAATTACTGTACTGGAAAGATCCCCAAAATAAGTTGTTGAATAAAACAGAGAAACAAGGTACAGAACAATATGTATAGTTGGTTACCATTTGTATCTTTTTAAAAAGAGGAGAAAATATAGGCTCATACATTGCTTATATAAGGGATGACTAACCATGGAAAGATACGGTTAAGACACTGGTAGTTTCTGAGGCAGAGAACTGAGTGCCTGGGGAATAAGAAGGGAGCAGGCAGAATGAGGACTTATCTTCAGTGTAGTCCTTTCTGACTTTGGTACAACTGCTATATATTTCCCACTCGAAAAGACAAAAAGTAAAATTGAAAGATAATCTCCCTGTTCTTTCTACACCTTCATCCACCCAAAAATTCAACGAAATTGACTCATTCAACAAACACTTTCAAGAACTGTCTTGATGAGGGTCGCCTGGGTGGCTCAGTCAGTTAAGCGTCCGACTTCGGCTCAGGTCATGATCTCACAGTTTGTGGGTTCAAGCCCCTCATCGGGCTCTGTGCTGACAACTCAGTCTGGAGCCTGCTTCACATTCTGTATCTCCCTCTCTCTCTGACTGTCCTCTGCTCACACTGTCTCTCTCTCTCTCTCTCTCTCTCTCTCTCTCAGAAATAAATAAAACATTAAAAAAAACTGTCTTGATGAGTCCCGAGTAGACTTGGTTCTTAGAACAGGGATCAGAATAGCATTGCCTTGTGTTTCCACTGTGCCAGTGTTCCAGGAGCATGGAAGCTACAAAAGGTATACATTCAGAGTCTGGGGGCTCTGGGGGTCCCGATTCGCCTTGTGGGATTCAAGAGACCCAGCCACCGAGGGCAAGAGGTCTCTGCAGGTGGAAGAAGTTCTGTACACCTGAGTCACAATTGGATGGCTGAGTCTGAATCTGTGGTCCAGAACCGCAGATGGGAGAGCAATGACTTCCCCTAACAAGCCTGGCTGTAAGGACATCATGATGCACTTAGAACATGTTCTGTTCTCCTGAGTTTTTTCTGGTTTAAACATCTGATTTGGGTTGGCTGAATTACTGGCTTTTACTGTTCTGGTTACCCTAGTTGATCTCTTAATTTTCATTAAGTAATTTCTCCAGCTTATTTATTTCTCTAGTTATTTATTCTGTTTCCTCCAGCTATGACCCTTACCCAATGACTAGAGGATTCTGCCAAATGTTGTCCACATTGTCATTCAAGTTCAAATATCCGTTCATCCTTTTGTGGCCATAAGCAGGTTACTCGGTTCTCAAATGAGATAAGGGAGTGCCTAGCCTATAGAATAGGACAGAGCAGAGGTTCAACAAATATTTGTTTGTTTGTTTTATTTTAGAGAGAGTGTGGGGGCACATGTGCCCATGCATGAGCAGGAGAGGGACAGAGAGAGAAAGAGAATCTCAATCAGGCTCCACACTCAGCATGGAGTATGAGGCGGAGCTCAATCCCATGACCCTGGGATCACGACCTGAACCAAAATCAAGAGTCAGATACTCAACTGACTGAGCCACCCAGGTGCCCCACAAGTGACTTTTTGTGATGTCCAAATCCTTTGTGGATTATCTAAAGCCATTTGTTAATTGATTACAATATATTTTTTTAATGTTTTATTTATTTCTAGGAGAGAGAGAGAGAGACAGCGTGAGCAGGGAAGGGTCAGAGAGAGAGGGAGTCACAGACTGAAACAGGCTCCAGGCTCTGAGCTGGCAGTCAGCACAGAGCCCGACGTGGGGTTCGAACCCACGAACCACAAGATCATGACCTAAGCAAAAGTCGGACGCTTAACCGACTAAGCCACCCAGGCGCCCCAGCAAACTCTTAATATNCAGGCTCCAGGCTCTGAGCTGGCAGTCAGCACAGAGCCCGACGCGGGGCCCGAACCCACAAACCGCGAGATCATGACCTAAGCGAAAGTCGGACACTTAACCGACTAAGCCACCCAGGCGCCCCTTGATTACAATATTTTAAGTTGTAAATTTAGAACTTAGTTTTCCTTAGGCCATTAAATGCAATTCTCAAATTTAATCAATTGAATTTTAGATCTAGTAATGTTTGTTAAAATTTAAAACAATCACACTTGATCCTTGGTTAATATTTCCTTAGCCTCTAAATTTAACAAATCAAATTCCCTCAATTAATTTAAGCACAGTTTACAATCAAATTCTCATAAACAATTCAAAGTCACATACACAAAAAATCTATAGAAGCAATTTCTCCTAAACATTTAAACACTATTTATAAATATGATTGGGGTACCTGAGTGGCTCAGTTGGTTAGGCCTCTGATTCGGCTCAGGTCATGATTTCATGGTTCATGGGTTCGGGCTGCGTCATCTCTGTGCTGACAGCTGGGAGCCTGGAGCCTACTTCGGATTCTCTGTCTCCCCTCTCCCCATTCCCCGCTTGTGCTCACTCTCTCTCTCTCTTTTTTTCTCTCTCTCTCTCAAAAATAAACATTTTTAAGTAATAAAAATAATAAAAATAAATACAATTAATTACATGCTCTTAAACTTTCTAAACCACAATCACAAATTTCATGCACCTGATTTCCCAAGCTCTTCAGAAGACTTCATAAGCGTTTAAACAACTCCTCAAAATTACTAAATCAAAAACTATACATTTAATAAATCAGATGTTCCTCTGCATTTTAACAGAATCAAAAATAAATTCAGCTTATTCATTTTTTAAAATTTATTTATTTTTGAGACAGAGACAGAGCAGGAAAGGGGCAGAGAGAGGGAGACACAGAATCTGAAACAGGCTCCAGGCTCTGAGCTTTCAGCACAGAGCCCAGTGCGAGGATCAAAGCCATGAATCACAAGATTGTGACCTGAGCCGAAGTAGGGCGCTAGGGTAGAGAGAGAGGGGGACAGAGGATCAGAAGTGGGCTTTGTGCTGAGAGCAGAGAGCCTGATGTGGGGCTCGAACACACGAACCATTAAGATCTTGACCTGAGCCTAAGTTGGATGCTTAAGCAACTGAGCTATCCAAGTGCCTTGCGGATACTCCTAACCAGTATAACCACTTCAAATCATATATTAATATGTATATATTCAAATGCACATTCAAGTTCATATTAAATATAATTGTTACAAAATATGTAGCATCTTATAAAGAGATCTTACCAAAATTATCAGTATAGGCTGCAAAGCATACACCCATCTGAAAAGAATCACCCTAAGGCCTCCACAGCTGGAATTAAAAATTTATGACCGACAGAGATTTAAGATGAGGGCTATGATTCAGAGATTTGGGCCCAAACTGCAGGACTGGAAATCCAGCCCCGGGCATTCAGCCCACCTTGCATGGTAAATGGCTGAAAGGCGTCCTGTGGTCAGGTTCTGCTGCTGTGACTCTAAGGCACTAGAGGCACCAGTTTTCAGCGGCTCTGGGTTTCACAGGGCATCATCCTCCAATTGTTTCCATATAATCCTTCCCTAATTTTTACCACCTGATTTGGGCAAAGAGAATTCTGAACCGACCCATCTGTGCAGTATCTGTTCTCTTGGCAGCCTGATTTGCCTCGAAGAGACTCTATCTTCTTTACAGCTTCTCTACCCCCCACCTCAAAAGTGTTTACTGCGAGCCTACTATGTGCCAGTCGCCAGAGACACAGCAAAAAACAAAACTGACAGACATGCCTGGCTCCGTGGTTCTCGCATCCAATTATCAAGACAGAGATCGGAGGCAGCAGCGAGAAGACAGGTGTAGGCTGCATATTAGAAGAGAAAAAGTCCTCTGCGGAGAAAAAGGAAATAGAGAAGAGAGACAGCGAGTGCTGGCATAGGGCAGGGTTTCATTGTAAATAGGATGCTTAGGGAGGGCCTCACATGCAGGTGACATCTGAGCCTGAACTTAAAGGAAAGGAGGCAAGGAGTTCTGTGGCTACGTGGGGGGAGAGTGCTCGGAGGGGCAGGGACAGTGATGCAGACACCCTGAATCACACCTGCCGGTCCTAAGAAGGCCGAGGAGGCATGAGTCGCTGGAGGAGGATAAGCAAGAGAGAAGAGTGGAGCAGAGGACAGAGAAGTGCAAGGAAGGGACAGAGTCGTGGCCAGGCTCACAGAGCCATTGTGAGCAATCTGCATTTCCCTTGTGTGGTGACAGGCTTGCCCTGGCTTTTCCTCGGAATCGGGAAGCAGGACACCAGCTAAGAGCAGTGGCATTAATTCACAGCAAGCTGTAAGGGTGTCTTGCAATGAATGAGTGGGAAGCTGGTACATATTTTGAAGGTAGAACCCATTGATTTGCTGAGCGGTTCAATGAGGGGTGAAGAAAAAAAGTGGCCAAAAATGGTTTTGGCCAAAACAACTTAAAGGATCCTGTTGCCATTACCTGAATGAGAAAGATTTTCTCTAATTGAGAATTTATATTTATTTATGGACACCAGCACTTGATAGATACCAGGGCATAAATTACTGAGATATGAAGTCACTCTCCTGCTACTAGAAGTAAGAAAGTCCAGCAAGAGGGGCACCCGGTGGCTCACTCAGTTAAGTGTCTGACTTTGGCTCAGGTCATGATCTCACGGTTCATGGGTTTGAGCCCCGCGTCAGACTCTGTGCTGACAGCTCAGAGCCTGGAGCCTGTGTCAGATTCTGTGTCTCCCTCTCTCTCTCTGATGCCCCCTGCTCACACTGTCTCACTCTCTCTTAGAAATAAATAAAACATTTAAAAAATTTTAAAAATATATAGTGTCATGTCACGTAAAGGAGCATCTGAGAAAGTCAAGGGAGAGAGGAAGGGGACAGACCCTTAAGCTGGGTTTAGAGACACCAAAGGACATTCCAACAAGAAAATATAGAATGTGAATGGGCACAGACATTTGCAGGAACGTGGTGTGTTTGTAGAAGTAAGTTGTTCAGAGTTGCAAGCTGAGTGCAGGGTAGCATGGAGGCGTCACCGAGGACATGTGGCAAACTGAAGAATGTAGACATTATCCTAAGGGGTACAGAGGACCTTCAGTACCTCGACGTGAGGGTGACATGATGGGACTGATGTGGAGTTTGGGGGCCAGTCTGCCACTCGGAGATGCACGCGGTTCTTCCGTGGCAGAAGATGTTAAAGGCTACCTCTTTGCTGAGAATGTTAACATTCTTGTTTCTCCTCCCTGCATCCGTTGTCTTGTGGGTAACACGCCAGTGGGATGGCATCCGGGCAGAATCACACCACAGTGACAAGATTTATCCTGCTGGGCCTCACAGACCAGGCTGACCAAAAACAACTCCTCTTTGCCATCTTCCTGATGATCTACGCTGTGACACTGGTGGGCAACCTGGGCATGATAGAGCTGATCCGTGCCAGCTCTGCCCTGCACACCCCCATGTACTTCCTCCTGAGCATGCTCTCCTTCCTGGACATCTGCAATTCCTCCTTGTTCACGCCCAGGCTGCTGATCAGCTTCCTCACCACGGATCAGTCCATCTCGTTCGCAGGCTGTGTGGTCCAGATGGCCTTCATGATCCTCCATGGCACAGGCGAATGCCTGCTCTTGGCCATTATGGCCTATGACCGATTTGTGGCCATCTGCCACCCCCTCCTCTACCACACCATCATGTCCAAGCGCTTGTGCATCCAGCTGGTAATGGTCACCTATGCTGTGGGGGTGTTCGTTTCAGCTCTGCAGACAGGGAATGCCTTCATCTTGCCCTACTGTGGTCCCAACATCATCGATCATTTCTTCTGTGACATCCCCCCCGTGCTCCAACTGGCCTGCGCAGACACCACGGTGGCCAACATCATCCTGCTTTGCCTTTCTGCTTTGGTCACTGTCCCCACAGTCTCAGCCATCTTGATCTCTTATGCCTTCATCCTGGTCACAATTTGTAGGATGAGGTCCCTGGAGGCCCAACGCAAAGCTTTCTCCACTTGTGCCTCCCACCTCACTGCCCTCTCCCTCTTCTATGGGTCTGTGTTCTTTGTATATGTCCAACCCAACCCTGAAAGTGCTTCATCCTATAACAAAACCCTTTCTGTGTTCTACACCATTATGATCCCCATGCTGAACCCCCTGGTCTACAGCTTAAGGAATAAAGATGTCAAGGCTGCCGTACAAATTAGAGTCCTTAACTTCAGCAGAAAAGGAATTTGTTAGAAAGGTGTCTGGTAGCTCATGAAGTAGAAGAGAAGCCTCATGAACCCAGCTGGGACAGGACTCAAGGATGGCCAGCACAGTGGAACCCTTACCACAAAAATGGTCTTGAAGGCTGCCTCTACAGGGCACATCACCTTCGAGCATCATCCACTGCGGTGGCCAGCGCTGCTGCCCCTGAGCATTTGGCACTGCTCAGCTGTGAGACAAAGCCACCTACACCAGCCACTGTGCCACCCTCTATAGCATCCAACCACATATAATGTCAGAGTGATCCTACACCTTTCCATCATTCCCTGAAGTTCAAGCCTTAGGCAGGAAATCCACCTGGTTGGCAACATCGCTGTTGTACATCCATCAATGCTACATTCAGCACGGATCTGTTTCATCCCCTGAGAGCCTGCATCTCCATTTGTTTATTTCTTAATTTTTAAAATGTTTATTTCTTTACTTTGAGAGAAATAGAGCAAGCGGGGGTGGGGAGCGGGCAGAGAAAGGGGGAGAGAGAGAATCCCAAGCAAGCTCCAAGCTGTCATCACAGAGCCTGAGGCAGGGCTTGATCTCACGGACTGTGAGGTATCAAGAGTCGGACACTTAATGAACTGAGCCCCAGCTGCCTCCCTATAGCCACACTTGTATCTTACAGACCCCTAGGACCTCCAATCAGTGGTCTCAGAAGTGAGAGTCAGATTCTATCTTCCACCTATCTTTGAGAGTTCTCAAATATAGAAAGGATCATTGAATGCCACAGCGACCTTTCCTAAAAGGTGATATTAGGGGTTGTTGCCCTTCTGAATATGTGATACTGGAGAAACAGTCTGTGTGGTGTTTGTGTATCAGAAGGAGATCGTGATCATTTGACTTTGTGGGAAAGAATGGAACTCCTGCTCCAGAAATCTCCACTATAATTAGCCAGGAATCAGGATGTGCTCTACAGCAATAATGGGCCACTATTTCTATATAAATCAACAATTGAAACAAAATAAAGAGCTGAAAGGCCATAGAACTTTCTCCGATCAAAATCAAATTAACTTTCTGTCATTAGATGAAGTCTTCCTTATTGTAACAGAAATCAATCTTACTACTTTAAGAGGGGAAGAACGAGGTGAAATATGCTGTGAAACCCAGATGTCAACTGAGGCTTAACATCTTTTTGCAAGTGAAATACAATTAGCTTGAACTCCGTTGCATGTGTGGTAAAATCCCTGTATTTCTGCCTATCCATCTGGCGAATCTGAGGTAGCAGGGAATGGCGAGTAAACGATTTGTGTTTTTCCCAGTTAGCTTCAAATTCCAAAATCCGCTGATTTACTTTGGCTTATATGTCAGGCAGGGGGGAAAGCACGGGGCTAGAAACGTGGGTGGTATAAATGGGGAAGAGAGGGAAATAGCACCTGACTGTTGTAGATCCTGATGGGGCAGGGAAGGGGGAGATCTGAGCTGACTGGGATGAGCCAACACAGTGGGGCTTACATCCCAGAGGAAACCAAGAAGCAAGCGCATCTCTTCCAGACAAAACCTCTGTGTTCACCTGTCACTTCATCAATATCAAAGTGAAACAACATGTGTTTAGTAAACTGAACAGTGCATGGGTGAACCTGCTGTTCAATACTCAGTGATGGTACTGGCTTTGTCTACAGGTTTGGGGTCATTTTTCCTAACATACTGTAGTAGGTTCTCCAGAGAAAAGGAACTAATAGGACATGGTAGATTAGATGATTGATAGATAGATAGATAGATAGATAGATAGATAGATAGACAAATGACAGATTGATTGATAAAGGGATGGTAGATTATATAGATAGATAAAGAGATGATAGATAGGTAGATAGATAGATAGATAGATAGATAATAGATAGATAAAGAGATTACAGGTAGATAAAGAGATAGATAGATGATACGTAGATAAGACAGATGATTGATAGATGATAGATAATAGGATAGATAAGATAGGTGATGATGACGATGATAGATGATAGATAGATAGATAGATAGATAGATGATAGATAGATAAATGACAGATTGATTAATAAAGGGATGGTAGATTATATAGATAGATAAAGAGATGATAGATGATAGATTGATAGATGATAGATAAAGAGATTATGGGTAGATAAAGAGATAGATGATATGTAGATAAGACAGATGATTGATAGATGATAGATAATAGATAGGATAGATAAGATAGGTGATGATGACGATGATAGATGATAGATAGATAGATAGATAGATGAGGAGATTTATTATAGGAATTGGCTCATGCGATTATGGGCTGAGAGCCCACCAACTACCATCTGCAAGCACAGAACCATGAAAGCTGGTGGTGTAATTCTGTCTAAATCAAAAGGCCTGAAAACTGGGGGCTGATGGTGTCAGTCCTTATGGGAGTCCAAAAGCCCAAAACCATGCCCACTGATGTCTGAGGACAGGAGAAGAGGGATGTTCCAACTCAAGCAAAAAGGAAATTCACCCTCCCCTGCCTTTTTTGTTCTCTTCTAGCCCCTAATGGATTAGATGAGGTCCACCCACATTAGTGAGGGTGACCTTTAATCAGTCTAGGGATTCAAATGCTAGTCTTATCCGGAAATTCCACTCAGACACACCCAGAAACTGTGTTTTACCAGCTCGCTGGGCATCCCTTAGACTGGTCAAGGTGACACGTAAATGAGCAATCACATATACTGAAAGTATAGTAGGGGCAGGCCCGTCCCTACCACCATCACTACCCAACACTCTATCCCAGACTCACAAGTTTAGGGACTGTGATCTTTTCGTGTAAATAAACCATTTGCTTAGCAGAAAACTTTGCTTTGAATAATAATTTCCATTAGAGTCAAGGAGATAGAGAGGACCCAGGAACAGAGGCATGGAGATGTCAACTCCTTTTTCATTGCACAGTAAACTCACACTCTGCTCCTAATGTATCAATTCCTGAGCACACTCACCCCATGGTCCTGAGCCACCCAGTCACAGATGACAAAGTAAACAGGCTTCCCAGAAATTTCTACAAGGAAGGGAGGGAAGACAAGGCAGAGGGGGGGAGAGCAGGAGCAGTGGAGGACTTGGCAAAGTCAGAGACCCGGCACCCAGCTACTTTGGCCCCATGCTCAGTGCCCTGTTTGAATAGAGTCCGGCCCTCTCTTCCCCTCTTCCTTCACCTGAAACCATGTGGAACCCAAAAGGAGTCATTGGAATGTTATTTGGAAATTAAGTCAAAGTGTTACCTGTCTCAAGAGCATTTGAATTACATTTTTATTTACACTATGTCTTAGGACCACCCAGAGCCCACTCATTACCTGTGATGTGGAACTTTCTATCGGGTGGCAGTGAAGCCAAAGTTCAGGTGGGAGGGCAGCTCCAGCCACAGGTGCTGAAAGGAAGGCCAGTTTGCAGTTCCGGCCAGGCAGCCATGGCACTGGGCCACAGCATACCACAGCCGGCAAGTACTGGATGTTGAATGAATGTTACTATTCGCAGGGTCTGGTTCCATCACCCAAGAAAACTTAGTTAGCCTTGCGGGCCCCCACCTGCCCCAAATGGAGTAGAGACGTGATGGCCCAAGTCTGCCATTTACAAATGGAAAAGGGAGTAAGTCACTTTGAATCCCCTCAATGTCCATCTTGTTCCCAAGCATCTCAAACTCATCTAAACTAACCTTATAGGCCCTTGGGGAAGGACATTGTAACCAGGTGGGGAGGCAACCCCGGTTTGAGGATGTCTAGTGGAACATTCAAGCTCTCTGGTGCCGATGGCCATCACTGGCCAAGTGGGATGTCTCTCTGCCCATCACTTCCAGGGACAACCTGGTGCAGGATGGAAGAAGCCAGAAGCAAGTGAGGAAGAGGTGCTTCTGGGAAGAAAGAATCCAAGACAGTCCAAGGATACTTCCAGCTGGGACTGGGCAAAGGTGACTAGTAGCAAAGAAGAGGCAGATGAGTAGACACCCTCCAGAAGATTCGTGGGTCCCACCACTGGGCAGTTGCCCTGCGTTCTCCATAGGTCAGGAGACTGAACACTGCCCAAGCCCCAACTCCAGAGTGTCATTGACCCAGTTTCATCCCCACCCTCTCCAGGACCTCAGAGAAACTGGCCACCAGCCCTGAGAAGCTGAGCTAGATGGGAAGCAAGCCTGGCTCATGGACAATGTGTGGATAAGCTCTGTGAAGACAGATTTGCTCAAAGGAGGAGCACAAGTCCAACTCGGAATCCCATTCTTCTCTAAGATGCTTGCAAAGCATGATGTTTGTGTAATTTGAGAGACTGAGGTCCTAAGGCCAGTCCTCCAGAGTTATTGCCAGCCAGAAAATTCCATGCCCTCAAATCTGTGAAATGCTACCCAACGAACCATGAGTCTGAAGCGTGACCTCAGGGTTTGAACACTGTGGCTTCCTGTGGGTATTATTATTGTACTCAACAACACTGTTCTATTCACTTGTGCCTTTAAGCTCAAAGTTGCAATTTTTAATAAAAGAAACCCAATCGCTCAATTTACAAAGTACCATAAATAAGTGATGTGAGCAAGGCTGGCAGGCTCTCAAATTGTGCTCCAGCAGGAAGAAGGACCAGAGAAAAGATCTCTGGGCAGGATCTCATCTTGCTTCTTAGGGTTCCCATCCGACATTGTGCTCAGATTTTATACCCAAATGTGGGTGTCTGCTATGGCACGGATGTCTCTACCATGGACCTCCCTGGGGAAGCCAACCCCCAGTGCCTCCTTCTGTCACTCTGTGTGGTGTAGCCATCACAATTCATGGTTACATCTAACTCACACATTAGCTAAAGGGTCTTAATCTATCCGCGACCAGAGGCCCTCGCTCATGATTGCCCATCTGCCATGGGACTGACAGTTTCCACAGATGTAGAAAAGGCAAAAGGATCCATTTCAGGGACACAGTCCAGCTGCTTCCCCCTTCTTTCCCACTGGTCAAGTTGTATCCACACATCAAGGAGCCTGAAGATACCTTCTTTCTAACAGGAAGCATGGTGGGAAGGATCTTGCCAGCATTTTCCTCCAAGCCACAATTTGTTAGCTTTAACTTCTCCAACCCAATATTTGCTTCATGGTAAACCCTGTGGTTTGTCCTTTATGTTTCTTCCTGGGGGCCCATCTTCTGTGCTCCATGAGCCTCAGACCCTGGAGTCCTAGTGTGACTAAAACCTAGGAAAGTAATAAAGCTGTAGTAATATGGTACAGGGTTTCTGGGGCACATGTCACAAGTGTGTGTTGGCTTATTCCCAGGGCAAGCCTGAGGAAACTACCGAGGTACAAGTAGCAGGCCACTCTGCCACTACAGAGGAACGGTGCTCACCTTAGGTATGATCTTCTGTGGGCCCACGAAGGATGGAAGCAGGGGGCCTCTTTGCCCTTTGCTCCCTGACTAGGTAGGACTCGAATATTAGCCAGAATTTCACTTGAA